TCAAAAATGACGTTAGTCTTTTGGAAAGCCACGGATTGATCGAACTGATCAATACCAAATTTAAATTCGGTGTTTACATCATTTTGTCGAGCAATGCGGCAACGTTTCTGCATAAATTGTCGCTATGTTTAATTATCGTTTTTATTTGCGAAGAAGTGAGTGTTCAACGTTGCGCTGGCTTTCAAAAATGTTGAGTTATTCGTACGAATGGTGTGGCTTGAGGTTGTTATTTTTTCGTGTGTTTCGTTTGGGCTTTTTGGTATTCAGGTTTTGGTTTAAATATTTTACTAAAAAAAATTGTTCCTAAGTAATAAAATGTAAAATTACATTTATTTATTTATTTATAACTATTACTATTTGGATTTTTTTAAATAGAGATAACAATTGTTATACATTGATCTACTGCACCAATTACTAATCTTGTTGAACTTAGGATCGATAAAAATGATAACTATAATTGTGCACTTCTTTGAACGTTGCAATTTCGTCATTGACTCGACATTAGCGAATAAATGAACTTTGTAAGGATTCATTAGTATCTATCGCTCATCGAGCTAAAGTACTATAATTTCCAATCAAATAAGTCGAGTAACGAGATAAAAATTATTTGATAAATACTAATAACACGGTGCTTGTCCATCGTTATCTTCGTCCAAATTACGAAATAATCGTCTCAAATTTTTCCATTGACTCACAAAATCAGCTGCCGCCAACATGACAACACCTCACGCCGACTGCCTCATTTGCACAATCCGACCATCGTTAAATTTTTGCAGATTAAACATTTTAAACACCAATTACAAATGTAAACACACCTCTTTAATCATATCGCGCGCGAAATTCAAAGTTTCCAAAACTTTTCAGTTTTTGAATCTTTTGTGTAACATAGTGTTGGCCGGTACTGTCATTAAAGACCTCGTCACAATTTACCAAGATCTTGAGCCACAACATCTCTTCACTTTCATGGAAGTGTCCATCAACATCTGCGTAATCTACTGCAACACCAGCTACATTTTAGCCACTAAAGAAAAAGTCAAAGAATACAACGGACTTTTAGCCATCGTGGACAACAAATACGGAATGGACTTCGTTATAAGCGAAGAAAGCTCGCAACACATCAACAAGAAAATGAAAACATTGATAACGGTGCTCTCCATTTTCGAGCTGTTGAATTTGGGCGTCGTGGTGGCTGTGAATTCCACCGATTTTATAAAGTGGATGAGGGTACTACCATCGGAACTCTCCACCATGGCACTGATAACGCTTCAAGTCCACTTGATCCAAAACAGCGAAATTTACACCAGTCTAGTCCACAAGTGTCTCAGCGAAATCGAATCTTCTTTAACCTCTTGCCAGGGGATTTTTGTTTCGGAGAAGTTGCAAATGATGCAGCGGCTGTATATGGCTCTACGGAGGAATTTTATTTTGAGTGGGAATTTTTTTTCACCGAGTGCGATAGTGTTCTATATCATGAATACGGTTCTGCTTATTATTTGTCAAACCTATGTGGTGCTTCTCTATTTTAGGGGCAAGGTTGAGGTTTACGCTTCTTGTTCCCAGATTTTTGTCAAGTCGCTTGTGGTGGTTGTTGGGCAAATTGTTTTTTGTTTTCAGTCGGAGAATTTGAGCAGTTTGATTCAGCAGCCGATGTCGTTTTTGATGAAGTTTCCGCTTAGTCGTCTTAGTAATAATGAGGCATCGAAGGTATTTTTCTTTTCGTATTAATTAAATATTTTTTTATTTTAATTTTTCAAAAAATCCATTCATGTTCGTTCTATTTAGGTCTGGTGTTAATTTAAATTTTTTATCTATTCATTAATTTTTAAGAGCTTAGTGTTCCCGGTTACTCTATTTAGTAAATGTTTTTTTTAGGTAGAAACTCTGATACGAATAATGATCGAGCAGAATATGGAGATGAAAGCTTCGGAATTCTTTGCTATAAAATCTGATCTTATTATTCCGGTATATTCAATGTGTTTTTACTACATTTTTCTAGTGTATTTGTTGTAGATTGTTACTACTGGTTTAACATACACATTAGTTGCACTACAATTTCACTTATTTTGGTAATCAACGTAATTTATTTATTAATTTTAGAAATCTGTGTATAAACGGTGTTCTCCAATTGGTATTTAATTGTATAAAAAAATATACAAAAAGCACAAATAAATAAACATGTGAATTGGAAAAAAAAGTTATTCCGATACCGGGAATCGAACCCGAGCCTCCTGGGTGAAAGCCAGGTATCCTAGCCACTAGACCATATCGGATGTTGAGAATTGTTTACTCTAACCTACATTACTTGGCGACACTCGTGTTTAAGAACTTAACAAATAAATTTGTTTATTTTAGACGTATTTTTGAAGAAAAATGTTTTTAACTACTTACTGAAAGAGATAAACACATTTCCAAGTTCATATTAAACAGAGATTAAATCAACGAGTTAATCTCTAATAGATAAAAAAAATCGAGTCATACATATACATTTTTAAAGCTATTCCGTGTAAACATTTCTTAGCAAAAATACATAATATAATAAAATACATATTTAACTATGTCATATTTTGTTGAGAATATATATTAATTAATGTTTATTGTGTTTGGTAAAAAAAGTGTGGGACCTTTCTTATTTTTACATGAATTTGTGGCGGCACAATAACACGCGGGTAAAGCAGAGTAAAGATAAGTTGTCTTGTGGTGTAGCGGTTAGCATACCAGCCCGGATTGCTTGGAGACGTGGGTTCGAATCCCACCGAGGCACAACATTTTTCTCTGCTTTCCCACATTGGTGACCACCGACAGGCAACGCGCACGCAACATCCTTCTGCCACCGCCCTGTGCCCGCTGTGTTCGGGGTCCGCAGCATCGCCAGGGTTCGAACGACGAACGTAAGAGTGGCAGGAGCGACGCCAGCAACTATCTCCTTCGCACCCCAGCACGACCGCGCGCTGTGTCGCTGGGGGGGGGAGTACTGTGGCGGCACAATAACACGCGGGTAAAGCAGAGTAAAGATAAGTTGTCTTGTGGTGTAGCGGTTAGCATACCAGCCCGGATTGCTTGGAGACGTGGGTTCGAATCCCACCGAGGCACAACATTTTTCTCTGCTTTCCCACAAATTGATTCTCACCTAGTTTCGTCCACAAATTGGTCATCGTCAGTGTGGTGTGATACTGAAAGGCAAAACTAAAGACTTGTTACAATTTTACAACCTAAAGTATTTTACGCGGAATTCCAAAACTTTCAAAATTAAACCAAACATTTTTTGGATGTGTTTCATTCAAGAATTTTAAAAAGTTATTTGCGAAAATTTGGATACCTAGAGTGAAAAATCAAGGCGGATTCATAAACCATAAGTATAGGAGTATCTTATTTTATAATCTTTTAAATGATATCTGCTAAAAAAATATTAGTTATTACTGCGCTTTACCATCTACGCGATATTGCTAACATACATACAAAATTTTGACAAGAATAATCGGTCCAGTAGTTTCGTAGATTATGATGTAACAAAAGTCGACCTGACACGAAAATGGGAGACCTAATTTTTCCTGCTCTGAGGGTCATGAAACGTCGAAAAAACATTAAAGTAGCCAGTCGCCCCTTAGCTAATGCGATGGGGAAGTAAAAATTAACGGCTAAAATAAGATAAGAATTTACTTGGTCTAAGTACCTGTAATGACACAAGTCTACCCTGAATGCCCGTTATTTCCGGGTCAGTGATGGATCTGATAATGATAATAATATTAATAATAATATATTTAAAATCTGATAAATGAAGAAACCTGTACACGATAATTAAAAAAGATACATAATGTATTACTTAAATTGTAATTCTAATAAATTTCTAAAATGATAAATTAAATATCATTAATAAGGTGCTAAATTGACGTATTAAATGACTCATATTTTTCCGAATAATAAGAAACTATCAATTCCTTGGCATTGATATTTAAATATACATATTTAAGAAATCATAATTCAGTAATCTAAAATTACTGAATCCTCAAATTGTGAAACAAAATGGCGGAATGTGTTCAATCGCTCATAGATAGTTAAATGACTGGAATAGCAAAATACGAGAAAAGTACTGTTAGAATCATTAATAAAGACCATCCTGATCTAAATTTATTTAGTTGTTCCTTTTATTTCTTACATTTAACTTTCTATTCAGGATATTTTATTATTTATTTTTTACGACCGGTTTCGGTTATAATGACTAGCCATTCTCAGGCCTTTATAATAACAAGAATTGTCGCTAATTACAATTATTATATTTAACCGTTTAAATACAAATAAAAAAAATTAATCACACAATTGGACAGCAACATTTTTCAGCATTTTAATAATTTGAAAATTAATACATTCGAAATTAATATATTTGATTTCGCAGAAAAAGTAATGGCGTGTTCACATTTTTTTTTTAAGTCGCTTTATAGGAATTGTACCAGAAGTTTATTGATGCATCTATTGTATAAGTACAATTCGAAGATATGAATTGATCCTCTCGGAGCTCAGGGCTCGAACAGGATTACGTTACTGGAAATACGTCGTGGCTGTAGTTCGTTCGTCACGGATTTATACGAATTGCGGCTTTCCGCGCAATTCGCTCCTTTTCGCTCACATAGCAGCCCTTAAATAGCAGTCGTCCCTTCTGCCCTGGACCATGGTAGGGGTAAAATTTTTATTAACAACAAAAGAGAAACTTAGAAGTTTTGACAGCAAGAACCAATTTGATTTGGTCACTTCATCAAAATGGCATCTAGATTTATTTCGATGTTAGCTAGTTTTAAATTATAATTAAAAATTAATGAAAATTAGAGAAAAAGAAGACGCAGATAACCAAAATTCATTGTCAACTGTTGATTAGAATATCATTGTTACTTCATTATAAATAACTCAATCACTTTTTTCGTCACAATTTTAAATATAATGCAATTTTAAAACTACATTTTACTTATAATCATGCTATATTTTTTATTTGTAAATACAATTAGCACTAAAGTTCGAGTACATTTATTATCAAATCTGACTAAAAAATCAAATATTCTTTAATCCTTCCGAAATCATCTGTTTTATCTCACTTCTTTTTACTTTCCCAGTCACCGTCAAAGGCAAATCTTTAACAAATTTAACCCCAGCTCGTAACCTTTGTCTCTCTGGTACTCTCTCTTCAACAAACTTCTCAAGATCTTCCTCACTTACACCAAAACCGTCTCTTACGACAACCAAGCCCATGGGATGATACCCATCTTCGTGTGGTATACCAACAACCACTGCTTGCTTAACAGCAGGATGATTCAACAGCTCATTTTCGATTAGCGCGGGTGCAACGAACCATCCTCTATATTTAAAAGATTCCTTAATTCTATCCACCACGTAGAAACAGCAGTCGTCATCATAGTAAACAACATCACCGGTCTTCAACCACCCAGATTCATCAAACGAATCCGAGGAATCCATATTGTAGTACCCATTCATGACAAAACTCGATTTGACACGAAGCTCACCACGCTGATTTGGCCCAAGATTTTGATTAGTGTCGAGATCCACAACCTGGAATTTTGAATTAAGTCGACAAAAACAAAACATTGACAAAAGTCTACCTTATAGGATATTCCTCTAAGTGGAAGTCCAACAGACTCGATTTTATCTTCGCGCTTCATAAGAGGTCTGTGGAAAATATCATTCCCACGAAAGTTTGTTAACACTCCACACACTTCCGTTTGACCATAGCCTCGAGCTAAATCCGCCTGTGGAAAAACCTGGCGTATTTTTAAGCAGTACTCCTTCGATATAGGTGACCCAACGATGATGATGCTCAAGATGCTACTAACGTCGACGTTTCTAACGTGTGATAACATCTCCATTGCTTCAACAGGCGTCAACATCAAGACTAATGGTTTATATTTTTCAATAAAATCCCAGATTTCTTTTGCGTCAAAACTTGGGCATATTAGTCTACAGAAACCTTGGATAACGGAAGTCAACAACATAGTACTAGCGGATACCCAATACAGAGAAGTGTAGCCGAGTTGAGTCAACGGAAAAGACACTCTTTCAGCTTGACTCTTCATGTACTCATGGTCGGGATTCTCGGTATGAGTAATATTCAAACTTTGACCTATACAAGCATGGTGACTCAAACATATTCCCTTCGGTAATCCGGTGGTACCACTGCTGAAATGTATAACAGCGGTTTCTTTCAAGTCGTTGATCGTCACAGGGTTGAACTCGTCTTCGTTCCAGTGAGGCTCCAAAAAATCGCTAAATTGAGTGTGTTTTTGGGTCTCGCCGAATACGACAATCTCTGAATCCAGACACAAATCTTGGACACTTTTCTCTATAGATGGTACCGATTCCGGAGTTATGAAAAGTATTCTTGGACGTATTTGTTTTAGCAGATGGAGCATTTCTTGTTGGGAGAAAGACGTGTCCAAGGAGGCTACTTTAGCACCTAGAAACTGTGCGGCTATGTAGGGTACCACAGTGTCTAGATGGTTACTGGTGCAAAGACTGACGATATGGTCACGTGTTATATTTTTGTCCCGAAGGTGGAGAGCGGTTCGAATGCAGCGTTGCAAGAGTTGACCAAAAGTGTCTTCTTCTCCGGTTCTGGCATCAATCTGAAATATAAATAAACATCGTAAAATTTGTGATCAAATAAATGTTTGTGGAGTAGTACCTGAGCAACTTGGTTCGTGTGGTTTTGCATATGCGTGTATATAGTACATCCGATACCTTCGGTGGGTTCTTTTATGGGGTTTGGGGTTGTTATTATAAAGTCGTCTGAAATTGTGATGTTGCCTCGCTGAAGAACCATTTTGGAACCAGACGTACGAAAATGACTGCTATGGGAGCAAGTGCACTACTATATATTTCGAGAGTTCAGTTTTATTTATATCTAAGGTTTAAAATACAATAATTGCTGCAACGGTTGTTTTAGATAACAGGATATAATTTTTAGTGCAACAATAGATTTCCTTGACATTGAAAAAACTCGTGATTTCTATAGATGGATGCGTGCAAAAATGTGATTTAAATTTGATTTGTTTTCAGCATAGGCGCTTTATTAAAACGGCGATGGAAAAAATGTTATTGACCCAAATTTAACAATATTCCATTCGTCTGTAATTTCATCATGATCGAAGGTTAAGTACTTCCAAGAATGCTAGTGTTATGATTGTGATCTATAGTTACTTTGTTTGACGTACACTTGGTCAAAATTAGAGCAACAAAGAAAAAAGTGGTCTGATATTATTAGTCAGAACTTCCCTCGTCCCTGAAATCCAATCAAACAAGTCCAGTTTTTTAGAAAACAATTCCAATATCAGTCACAGGGTAAGAAATAAAATTTGATTTTGCGAAATTGTATTACATTAAAAAAATGGTCTAAGGTTACTTTGACAGAACTTCCCTCGCCCCTGAAGTACAGTCCGACAATTATAGAATTTGATTTTGGGAAATTAAGTTAAAAAAATTGATAATAATTTTGGGTGTCTAGGGGAAAAACTCAAGGTGGATTCATAAATCACAAGTACCGGAGTATGTTATTTTCTAAAATTTCGATGATGATTACTTCATGCACACAATTTTGAGGTGAAGTCATGAAAGTGCTGGCAGGGATGATTAGACAAATTTTGGTTAACGTTATTTCTAACATACATATAAAATTTGACAACAATCAGTCCAGTAGTTTCGTACCCCAGGAATCACAAAACGTCGAGAGACTGATTTAAAGTTATTTAGACAAAACCTACTTTAAATCTGAGCCGTACCCAAATAAATCCAGTTTTCTAGATAAATTATAAACGGCGGTTCTCCAAATTTTATTTTTTGCATCTATATTAAAATATAAAGTAATCTTGCGTTCCCAAAATTTTGGGATAGTAGAATAAACCACTTTCGGTTTAATAAAGAAATTATTTGATGTGTTCAAATGCACTACATAGCAAACTTTTGAAGTGACGTTATCAACATTTTGATGGGGATGCATAGACAAATCAAGCCGATGATGTCCTCAACGCTGTACTAAATTTCAGAGCAATTGCTTTAGTAGTTTAGTATGTAAACAAGTTTAAAAATTGGTGGATTAATTAAACACAGGACGTATAGACGAACAGACAAACGGACGGATGGATAGAATGACGGACAGAAATGTGTTGAAGTTATTGATATTATTGTTTATTAATAATCAACAAAGTATTGGAATGTATGCTATTCTGCAAGTGAGATTTACATGGCAAGATTTTGAGATGACGTCATCAAGTTTTTGGAAGGGATGGATAAATGAATTCTGATTAGAAACTATCATGTTGACCATGACCATAAAGTTTGTTAGTTAGTTTATATTCGGAAAGTACATTTAAAAAATTTTGCACTGAAGTTTCTGCGATTGCAAACAAATTACTGGAATCTACAATATAACCATGTGCCTAGAATTTTAAGAAAATTAAAAGAACTATTCTTGAGATAGTCGTAAATCGCTTCAAAAAAGCAGATTATCCAAAATCTGAATATCATTTAGAAATTAAAGAAAAAACTAGAGGCACAAGATTTGAACCTTGTATAGTTTAGGAAATTTCTTTCTACCCTATAAAATTTTATTGGCAATAACGAGACGGACAGTAGTACAATAGGAAGAGATATTTATAATTTGAAGTTGTCGCGTGCCGGTAATCCCCAGATGTTAGAAAGCAGAATAATCCAGGTCCGGACAGGGCCCATCGTTACTCACAAACAAAAATGAGCATTATTTTACGAGTACAACTACCTGCTAAATGTTCTCAAACAAATTCGGGTGAACTGGTGTGACCATTAATATTTCTTGCCATTGTACTACTGTCCACCTCGTTATTGCCAATAATATTTTATAGGGTAGAACGAAATTTCCAAAACTATACTACACCGATGGTGCCCCGTAAAGTTAAGTGGGATTTATAACCTTCCTCTTGACGTTGAAGTTCCCGTTGCAGTTACTGTTCCCGCTGACGTGGCTTTTATAGCTGAAAATTGTCATTTATAAACTACGTTGCCAAGTTGCCGTCGATAGTAACTTTTGCCGTATTTAAAGAGGTTGTAGAAGAAAAGTGGAGGATTTAAGTTGATTACTACAAAAATTTACCATTTTAGACATGTTTTAAGTTTCTTGTTGTCAAAATTAGTCTACACATATTAAGAAAAAAAAAAAAAGGAAAAATGTAGCCCCGCCCACCCACCCTATCCCAATTGTGATGCTTTTTTTTATTCGTCGTGAGCTAAGGGGGCGGAGCTTAACTGCAAAATCCTCATTTCTCGTAGAGAAATTAAACCATGTTTTTGAGTATCGTGTTGTTCAAAGGATACTATGTATATTAAAAAAAAATAAATAAAAATAAAGCGAAAGATTAGGCACCACCCATATCCAACCACCCACCCGCCCTATCTCAATTGTGATGATTTTTTTTTAATAATCGAGAGCCAAATTAACGGAATTTAATTGCAATATCGTTATTATTTCTCTACAAGAAATTACCATGGAAGACATGTTTTTGAGTACCTACCTATCGTGTTATTCAAAGAAATACTATGTATATTAAGAAAAAAATAAAGCCAAAGATTAAGCCCCACCCATGCCTGCCCTGATCTAAATAGTAATGAACTTTTTATTCGTTGGCAGATAAAAAAAAATCATCACAATTCAGATGGGGTGGGGTTAATATTTTGAACAATCTGATACTCAAAGACATATTTTTAATTTCTTGTAAAGGAATAAGTATTTTGCAGTTAAGCTCTACCCCCTTGATTCACGGCGAATAAAAAAAATCATCACAATTGAGATAGGGCGGGTGGGCGGGCATACATTTTGGCTTTTCGTTTTAATATGTGTAGATTTCCTTTCACAACATGAAACTTAAAATATGTTTAAAATGGAAAATTTGTATAAGGAAATATCGATTTTTCAATTAGTCTCCAGCCCATAACTGCAAAATCTATATTTTATTCAAAAATGTACCGTTTTAACCATGTTTTAAGTTTCTTGTTGTGAAAAGATGTCTATGTATATTAAGAAAAAAAAAAGGCAAAACATAAGCCCCGCCCATCCGCCCTATCTCAATTCTAATGATTTTTTTTCGTCGCAAGCCGAGGGGCGGAGCTTAATTGTAAAACCCTTATTTTTTTACAATAAATTACCATGTGAAATATGTCCTTAAGTAATTGTGTTATATAAACAAAACTATAAATGTATTAATTAAAAAAGAAGCCAAAAGAGAAGCCTCTTAAGTTTCTTGTTGTGAAAGGATAATTACACATATTAAGAAAAAAAGGCAAAATGTAAGCCTCGCCCACCCGCCCTAGCTCAATTGTAATGATTTTTTTATTCGTCGTGAGCCAAGGGGGCGGGGCTTAAGTGCAAAATCCTTATTTCTCTACAAAAAATAAAAAAGATGTTTTTGATTATCATGTTGTTCAAAGAATACTACGTATGTTAAGAACAAACAAGGCAAAAATTAAGCATACCTTCGCTACGTATTTATCTTACAACGGCAACGTCAACAGCGAACAGTAACTTCAGCGACAAGTTTATAAATCCACCTTTAGGGCTATATTATTTAACATACTAAGCTCTGAGTATAATCAAGAAATTTTATAATATGCTAAGTGATATAAGAAATAAAACATGCAGAAAATAAAAAATATATTCACCAAACCTTTGTGATATACATATTTGCATAATTTAAAAGAAGAGGTAGTGGCTAGTTTTCGAGTAAAAAAACTAGTCGTGAGAAATATGCACACTGATTTATACAGTTTCACATTAAACTATTTTAAATGTTCTTAAAATTTTATTTAACTGTCCATAATTCCTGAAATTGCAACGCCACCAACACATACGTAAGAACAGTCCCTACAAACTAAACCGACATTCACAAATTAAAATCTTCTTCACACAAATTCTTACCGAACACGCTAAACTCTTCTTAATAGTAAAAATATCTGCAGCACTAATTTCCGGTTTTTGTTCGACTATAGAAATAATGATCATCTCGACTTGTTCTGTTTCGTCAGCATGCAATTTACTAAGTGGATATCTGAAGAAAAACGACAAAATGCGATTGCTCTAAAAAAAGCACAAAGAATCCATCAATTCAGTTTTTTACATTTCTTACCATTTCGTAAAGTTTCTGGACTTTCATACCCGCAAGGTAAGCACCTACACACCCCAAGCAATACAAAATAAACAACAAAATTTCGTCATAATCAGGAACTCTAGACTGTTTGATACCATCCACGAGCAGGAAAAAATTCATCACTAAGACTGTGCATCCACAACACCAAAACACTATCAAATTGGACCCACAAACGACTTGAACTTTTTCAAAATTTTCGTAAATGTGGGTACGAAGCTGTTGCAGTTTTTGAAGATCTTTTCGAATAGAAAAATTTCTTTTGGTGCTATTACTTGCCAAATCGAGAACTGTTTGCATCTGTTCATGACATCTGTTGAGAAGCGTGCGATAGATTTCCACCAGCAGCAAAATGTTGCACATCAGAGACAAATTGGTGTATGTGTTTACTAGTAAGTTGACTAATCTTAGAAACGACTTTACTGTTACGTTTTGGTAGTTGGCGAGTTCGTTTAAGATTAGGATAATGGATATGATCATGAAAGGAGTGTAGTTTTTGTAACACAGTAAGTACAGCGTTTTCTGAAACTGTGGCCCCAAAAAGTTCTCGACTCCATACCTGTCTTTATTTAGTAAAATGTGTAAAATCCCATTAGCGTGATCTACCAGAGCATTTAAATTAAACTGGTTTTGAATTATCATGATGATAATGGTGACATTTGTAACCATTATCATTAAATTCGACAAAAC